TAACATTAATGCTTCTCTCAACACAACAGTCTCTACCAACGGCACGTTAAAGAAAAGCGATTTCACATCAAAAGAAAATATCAGTTTTTCCTTCACGGTTGGTTTTCTGTTCGGTTGACGAAACCAAACGAGTCTATGACCGTGTGAATCGACAATTCTCTGCGAACCGGCTCAAGCAAATCCGTTACCCACTTTGCAACAGAGTGAAGAGCCGAAGTAGACATGTCGACTATTGGTCGCATGGAAACATTTGAGTTGTGAAGCTTTGACAAGCCGTACAGTCGAGGGGGTGTGAGTCGCATGGAGTTAGCTTTCAGAAGAGTGAATGATCTATATGTTTTGACCCTCACAATTCTTGCAAAATATTAATGATTTTGCCTCCTCCTGCGAAGTGGTCTCTTTTCAGATTGCGTCCGTCAGAATTCGTTGTCTGAATTGTCAGTTCAGAGACGTAGACTTGTTCATCAATACGCAGCCAGATACTTTGTCCGATCGGGAAAAGATTTGTTACGGGTTGGATAACAACTCCTTGATTGCGTCACGGTGCTATTTTGTCAAGATGTTAGATATTTGAGGTTTAGAGTTCCGATACTGATGGGCGAGATGTACTAACATTGTCTTAGACGTGCCAATTTCCAGTGAAGATGTAGGTGCTAAATCAACTAACTGGTGCATTAAATTCGCAAATTGGGTCTCCAGATGAATTTGCACGCATTTTGGCTGGGAGAAGCAGGATTTTGGCCCAAGTGTCAATGCTTCTAAATGGAGCTGGTTCAGTTGCTGGTTGGATAGATTGTGCACATAGACACCAGGATTGGCGGGGAACTTTGTTTCAGGTGATCAAGGTTCCAAGCATTTGAGCAACTTCGTGTTTCTTCCCTCTTATGTCTTCTCGCATATTTCTTGTAAGTAGCAATTGAAAGCTTCACGGCGATCATTGCTAAGGTCGTCGACCACCGACGAATAGAGCGTACGCAATCGTCTCAGCTCAGAGTGTCGAGACTGGATAGCTACCAGTAGATTAAATGCATATCATTTAAGAAACTTGGTGTTTGGACGAATGTAGATGCGTCAAGGCGATTTCCAATAAGTCTTTGGATACCGATTACGTTCTATGCAATCTTGGGTGAAACGGATATCAGTCTTCGCATCAGTAAGCCGGGCATTAAACTTCAAGCACTTGTTGTGGTCAGTAAACGCTTTGGGTTGCTGGCAATTTTAAGTTCACAAATTATCCCCATTTGAGTCAAAAGTCGGCAAATGAGCGAAGAATATTCTCTGCGATAATTGTTATCAGGCGTATGCAATTATAAAGTAAAATGTTGAGGGGATGAAGCATGTAAAGGCTTGTCTAACTTAAATAAAACACTATAAAGAAGCCAACCAACTCATTAACTAGGGAGTATGAAAAATAAACCAATGGTTTGACCAACCAAACTGTCGCTAAAGGATGGCCACATGTCAATCATAAAAGTGTCGCAACTTCATGCAGGCATTTCCCTTCACGAATTTCAATAAAGCAAGAAGAAACAACATTATAACAGAATTTACTGAATTCAGTAATTTCGCGTATTCTCTTCAGCTGTTTACATACAATGAGTGGAAAACAGTGCGATGTTAACAGCAAAAATTCAAAGCGGTCGAAGGTCTTTAGGCTCACGTGACCTGTTCCGAGGAAAACGCAATCCCTAGCCTCACCAGGGTAGGGATAGCGTGGTCACGAAATCCGTTTGCTTGCATAAATCTGGCTTCAGCCGCCGAATTGCCGCCGCCTCCGCAAACTGTAGTAAACGGGAATTAACCTGTTTGCTAACTACCCTGAAATTGCCACGTGGGTTCTGGCATTCAGCGCAGTCAAGTATGTGGCGGGCAATAGAGCTAGTCGGTAGCTTCGGACCTTTAGCGATCATGTTTCGCGGAACATGCTCTGCAATCCTCGCTGACAGCCTTCTCTCAGTTCGGCCTATGTACTTACTACCGCAAGTACAATTAAAGAGGTAAATGCATGAGGCGGTAACTTGAGAGTCTGGTCTGTCCAGGTTGGATTTACAGAGCAACTTCAACGTACAATTTTTGTTTAATGGGATCTATTATAGGTAAATAGTTGGGTTCTCCCTTAGGCTATCTTATAGCTGACATCATCCTTGCATAGCCCGAATGTGGACAGGTGAGCACCCTTATTTCTTCACTTGATTCATGCTACCGTTACATGGAAGACACATTCATTGTTTGTGCCTCTTCCACTTCTAATTTTGTGTCCTACTTGACAACGAAGAGTGTGGTGTAGAGGAGGAGCTATCAAACGAACAGAACGCAAAACCCTTGTGGCCTAATTCTGTCGTTGACAATCCGAAGTACCTTCCCTGCTTAATCGATCCACGGTTAAAGTCAGACCACAAGGATATGAAAAGTCAGTGGAGTTCCTGAATTCGGTTGCATATGAAGCAACTGAAAGATGGAAACGTGCTAAAAGGTTCAAGTTTGGATTTGTAGTATCCACCGTGTGGTTGGATTGCGACACACAAATTCTATTGAGACCTAGGTTCATTTTTAGGGAGGTGTTTCCGTGTTGCCCCACTCAACACTGACATCCACATCCCATGACCGGTTTCGCCCTCGTGTGGACTCATCAGATGGAGATAACCTGACGTGGAGTGGAACACAAGACCATTGGTTGGCTAGCCGAACAACCTCCTCGTGGTGCCAGCTGGGTGGTTCGGGTTTAACCAGTTACAGCAAATAGTTCGGCGGCAGTGTTCCAAGACGTGGTGGGTTTTCGCCTGGCAAGCGTTCCCCCTATAAAAGCCACAAATGTCTGCTTAACAACACTGCGACGTGGCGGATGTGACTCGCCACAAACTAAAGTCACCGGCCCGTGGATATTCGGAAAATGCTATCCAACCCACGAAAATCAATCGCTTATTCTCACATTCCAGACGATAACAAACAGACAAAAATTCTGCGGCGCATTCAAAGACACAAGCTACATTCCTACACAATTACATACGTGTATACACCCACATACTTACATACACTGTTATGCCAAACATGTTCTTTGTACAATTTGATCACACTATGTTAGCTAAATATGATCATGCCAGTAAAGGTGTGCCTCGCGTTGTCGAGAATAAAAATTTATTTATTTATTTCGGATACGGTCTTTATGATCGGAATGACCAAGGTCTAATAAAGTGAACTGAGGTCTCAATAAAGATGGCATGTCGCAATCCTACCACACGACAGGTACTCCAAACCAAACTTTGAATTACTTACCGCTGTGCCACGCATCGTTCACGGACCTAGGTGGCATAGTGATCAAGGCGAGAGCCGTTAACCGCATGGCCCCGAGTTCCCCCACAGCTCAGACTATCTCCAACTCGTAAATCCAAGTGAGGACGAAAGCGGTCATGGAGTGTCAGTGTTGAAAAAAGCAATACCAAAACACAATGCTAAAATTTATTGGCTACCACATATTTGATGATACTCGTTTTACAAATACCAGGCATGCCTTTACAAAATCCAACAATATACCCGTTAATGACATTTTTGGAAATGATGGCAGAAAATTTTTACGTCATTCATGTCCGACGCTTCTCCGATTTAGTAGCGAGCATTTTGATGGCTTGTCAGCTGGAAGCCAAGATGTTGCACGATGTATACAAACATTCAAAAAGGTGATTAATTTCGAGGACGAAACCTCATCCAAGTGAATTTCATCATTGTAGATCTATCGGTAACTCACTATAACACTAGGTAAATATCTCCACCTGGTCGTCACTGAAATCGACAGCTGGGATAGTATTCGGTACAGATTGCAGTGACACTAAATACAACACAGTGTAGATCATTATGCAGCCAACAATGACCCTTCAAAGTTTATAGATAATTCGCAAGAACATAAACGATAAAGGCTGATATACCTACCGATCCACCTGATTGCGTCCCTTGTTAAGCAACCGAGCAGACACCTTCTGTAAAGAGTCTGCAAATCATCCATTCAGCAAACACGAAACGGACATCTGTCCAAAAACATCTGCTGAGCTCAAACCGAGAACATATCTATCCCCGTCTGTTGCACGGGAAGTGACGACAGTATGGTAAACGCATCGAAGTGATACCCATAACGCCAACAGCAATAGGCTTAAAATCTACTAGTGGCAATCGTAAGTCACCAGGCAAGCATTTAGTTCCCGACAAGAACTTTTATGTTGCTAGGATGAAACCCATATTTCTACCATGGTTATCAATGGCAACAGTCCACCAGTACCTGTTAAACAGAAGTCGCACAATGCTCAGAAGACACTCGCTGGCTTTTTGGCCTTTGGGTATTTAACTCCTACTCTGGCGATCCATGATGCTCTTTCCGACCCTCTCCATACATATCTCCATTGCCCTCTGTCCATACCTAGGAGTGAACCCACAACGCTGCCTTTCTCGAGCATGTTTAGCTCTCCCCAATTACTGCATTTTTGGAATTACTCTATCCACTTCACCTATCCTTCAACAATCAACGGATGCCGCAAATCTTCTCTGGAGTATGACAATGCTTATGAAAAGATAATACTCAAATCGGATGCTACGAACTGTGCGTCCCCATCGCTATACCAGTGTCTATCCTAAAGAAAAAAGCTGGTTCGGTCTACGCACAAAATCCTACAAAGTATGCCATGTCCTTAGCAGTTAGGAAAGCTAGACATATCTCACAAACAGCGCAGCGATGGTGAAGAACATTCCACCCTCAACCAATGTCTTAGTAAAAGTCATGGCATTCCCAATACAAAGAAACCTGGAATTTCGGGCCCAAGAATCAATCCTATGGATCTTTGCTCCCACAATGGATCATGCCGTAGATATCTCGATGCAATCTAATCGTAAAACCCTGATCATTACAGAAAGGGACTGTCATACAGAACCGACAATATGCATTTATTATTATTACTATCAATACCTGGAAACTATAAACTGAACGGATAAATCTACCAAATAAGGGGCAAACTCACATCATCAACAGCATTGCTCCCAGTATTTCTCTCGTGATGTGCAGGTGAGAAATGTAGAGTCGCGTGTACCGCGCACACGCGCTGCACTCACAGCCGGGTTGGATTGGTGTGTGGAGTGAAGCGCCATTGGGTAAAACGTCAGCCAAGGGAAACACGATGAAGTGCTCATCAGTTGAATGTTGAGATTTACTTATCCAACCAGGATAAATCCAGGCCACTGCACTCCTGGATAGACGATAAGGAAAACTACCATCGAACAAATCGACGCCAAACTTGACAGCCATTGCGATATCATAGGGCTGCCAAATGCCAGTCAGAAAACGGGGAAGGTGTGTAGGTAAGTGCTTGCAAATTTCAGGTAATAATTCGAAGACAGTCTTCGAAGGGAAGCTGATTTCGTCAGCTGAACCAATTGTTCTCCGATTCGCAGGTACAGTATGTTCGTGTGTAAGGAAGAAACCGTCAAGAACAACGCCTGAAAAATTATAGAGCGAAGAAATGCGCGAAATAACTATGTCGCTCTTTATAAAGATTAACATTAAATAAATTGCGTTATGGAAGCATACACAATGGATTCACAACAGTGATATAATATTTAACATAAGCATGCATAAATCTGCCGTTCGAAAAAGGTACATCGTGATGGCTTTCAGTAAAAACGAAAATCAACGTGGTAAGAGGGAGCAAATACTCGTAAATTTACCATTCCTCATGTGAAAGTAATGAAAACCAGCATCATGAAACGTCCGCGCAACGACACTAAAAGGTGTTTGTGAGAACTTCGCTGCGAACACAATACAACGGCAATGATATCTTGGGCCAACCGACCAATGTAAAAGCACGAAAGCTGTTTTCATCAAAACGTGTAATCCAGTAAATATTTCGCTCTCGAAATTTCCGCATTGTCGGCAACAAAATCATTAGAAGTGGTAACGTCTGGTGTTTGGCGCACTTATGACTGGAAAGGAAGGGCATATATATATATATATATATATATATATGGCAGGGCGCCCACATCTGAAAAGAGAACGACTCGGGTCCTCAACCAAACCCTTCAATTAAATGTACACCCGAAAGACAACGTCTAGCACGTGGTCAGCTCATTGACTCATGCGAATTGGCGTCTTGGATCTTAGCAGGGAGAAGGGCGTAACCCAACTCCCACGTAGCGGTAGCCATGAGGAGGCGTACAGGACGTGAGCCCATGGCACAACAATAGCAGCATTGGGTAGACCATTTGTCAGGGTCTAGCCACTACCACCCCCAGCGCACCATAGGCTCTCCCGCCATCGGTAGCTGAAACGTGCGCACACTACTGGACCGGAACTCGAGTGAACGCGCCGAGCAACGCACTGCACTGGTCGCGATAGATCTGGCGCGCTACAACAATATTGTGACGTTCAGTGAGAATCGGCTCGCTGAGCATGGTACGTTGCATGAAGCAGGTGCTGGCTACACGTTCTACTAGGTGGGCAACGCCACCTCAGCACCAGGTGAACATGCGGTCGGATTTGCAATATCCCATCGTCTAAATGGCCACCAGGTGGGTGAACCAACAGGCATCAGCGCGCGACAAATTGCTCGCCTAGGACTCGGAAGAGGTAAGTTTGCCACTTTTATGAGCAAGATGTGTTACCCTGATGACATGCACGATCAATTCTACACTCGGCTATCCACCGTGATACGGGCTGTGCCAAGGAGCGACCGACTATTTCTGTTGGGTGATTTCAACGCGCGCGTTAGGCGTGATGCATCGGTGTGGACAGATGTCATCGGTCCACATGGCCAAGGTTCAGCGAATGCGAACGGTGACAGGCTGCTCTCACCGTGTGCCACTCACGACCTGACGATTACGAACACTCGGTTTGCACTGAGTGCGAGTGATATTGCAACTTGGACACACAAACGGAGTGGTCACGCTCACCTGCTCGACTATGTCATCATACGTCAGCGTGACACGAGTGAAGTGCACATGACACGTATACTGCGTGGAGCTGAGTGTGGTACTGATCACAAATTGGTGCGGACCAAATTGTACATATATTTTCTAAATCTATGTATTATACTCTTGCAGTGGATGGGCGTGAATTTAACATTCTCTCCCTCAGTACTGTAAAGAAACGTAGTGAGCTGGAAAAGGCGATGGCTGCACGCCTGTGTGATGTGAACTGCATGGCCATAGTGGGCGACCTGTGGCGCCACATTCGCGACCAGGTAACAGCTGCGGTCGAGTAGACCATCGGGTGCGCAAACTGTCAGCGGCCTGATTGATTTGATGGGAACAATGCGACAATTGGCGTATTGTTGTCCGAGAAGAATGCAGCATTTGCTGCACATGTGGCAGACACCAGTAACTTAAGAAAGAAGAGTCAGTTTCCCAAACTTCGACAGGGACTGACCCAAGAGCTGCGCCGCAGCACTATAGATATGGTGTTTGCGGCTCGTCAGTTGCAGGAGAAGTGCAGAGAACGACACCAGCCACTGTACTCGCCTTTTGTTGATTTCACCAAGGCATTTGTTACGGTGAACCGCGAGGCATTGTGGCTGGTGTTAGGTAAGTTTGCTTGCCCGCGTAAGTTTGTAACTTTAATTGAATGTCTGTACAGTGGTAGGCGGGCGAGGGTGCAGCTGAGTGGAGAGACCTCGGACGACTTTGCAGTTGTCTGGTGTGAAGCAAGGCTGTGTCAGCTCCAGCCCTGTTTGATATATATCTCCATGCAGTGATGTTTTGTGCTACTAATGCTGCTTGTGCTTACGGTGTTCATGTGGAACACCGTATTGATGGTGGGTTGCTGAACATCCGTCGTTTCATTGCGAGAACCTTAGTCTGTGAGACAACTGTCCGTATGTTGCTGTTTGCTGACGACTGTGCGTTGTTTGCACACAGCACGGATGTGTTGCAGCACATGAATAGTGCTCTGGCTTCGACAGCGGCCAAACTCGGGCTCACCATCAACACTAGCAAAACTGTCTCTTACAGCCTTCACCAGAAGTGCAATCTGCATTGGTGCCGCGAAGCAGCATTGGTGGTGACGTAATGGAAACCACTTCCCGCTTCTGCTACCATGGGAGTGTGGTGTCGACTGACCAGCAACTACACAGTGAGTTGTGTATCCGCGTCTCGAAGGCAGTGTTGGCATTCCGGAATCTGGAGTATCGAGTGTGTGTTGGCACGAAGCTGATGGTTCACAAATGCATAAGGCTGTCCGGTCTTCTATACGGCAGCGAAACGCGGACGATGTACAGGTGGGATGTGCGATATCTCGAGCAGTTGCATAAACAGTGTTTGAGACGGATTCTGCGCATCGGTTGGGGCGACAGAGTTGCGGACAATGAAGTGCTGCGTCGAAGTGGAATGTATGTAGTGGACTGCATACTGTTGCTGTAACACCTGAAGTGGCTGGGTCATGTGAGCCGTATTGATTCGACGTGGATACCTAAGCAGCTGCTATATGGTCAGTTGAGTACTGAGAAGCGGCATGTGGGGAAATCAAAGTTACCTTACCAGGACGTGATCAAAGTGTCTCACGTTCTAATCTAGATTGCAGGTCATGGGAATCGAAGGCGATTGATTGGCGTGCATGGTGCGATCTGATGACGAAGGCAGTTGCGAAGGTGCGAGAGAAAGCCCTCATGCATGCAGAGAAGCGGCAATTGCGGAAGAGACAAGCGCCAGTGGGGTGTATTACATCGACGTCGAGCGCATGGTGCTGTAGCACATGCGGTCGCGAGTACCTGAGTCAGGCAAGCCTAATAAACCATAAGCGAGGACACTCACAGCCAGCACCGAAACGACGACGGGTCCGGCTAAGAACGTACGCTGCATTCGATTTACTGAAAACATGTTTGTATGCTGAGTCTTTATTTCAGGTGGTGGGTTTGCTATCTTGTTTTAAAGCTTATTTTCTTACTTCATATTATAGTCTTCCTAAATAAACGAATAAATTGTAAACGTCGCTCAAACGAAAGGCGCTTAACTTCGATTTTTTTTCTCCATTTCGCATGTTTCTTTGATCTGTTTATCGGCCATCTTCAATTTATCGCGGCTATGTTGATAATCTATTGATATCATGTACTATTATAGCGACATATCTGCATGGTGTTTTCGACCTATTTTATTGGTTATTTCATATCATGTGATTGGCTGTTGCCTGACAACCCCGGTGTGGCTGCGCTTAATGTGCATGTTGACAAGGTGCCTACCTGTCTACTACCCACTACCTCGTCCATACTGGCTCTAGGAGACAGTTAATCTTTGCTGAAGGGGCGGGGTTCATGGTCCTTCTGGTCGTGCTAGGCTCGAAGAGTGGTTGCATGCACTCAGTGTGGAGCGAACTACGGTCCAGCCAGCACCTTGTGTGCGCTTGATTTCCAAATACAGCGTGCTTGTTTGTCTGTGAAGGAGTGTGGGCTGGTTCCGTTGATGAAACATGGCTCCCATCCGCAAACCTCCCGGATTTATTCCTTCGGGTTTACACTGGATATGGGGTTTGTGGATGGAGCTGTGGGTGGTGCAGCGCAAGCCATCCATGGTCCCTCTGTAGGCGCAGGCGTCCTGTGGCTGTCCTTGTGAGGGTCTCAGTGACAGGCACATCGGGTACCGGATGCCGTCAACCAGCTGTGGCCAGAAATACGGCGGTGTCATATTTTTGTTTCGTCCGACTCTAGTACAAACTGAAGGTCGCTAATGACACTGTTTAATGGTTGGTGTGTGGCTATACTTCTGGTTTGGTTATGTTTCCCTACATATATTAAAGTTAAATGGTGGAATCTGCATACCAAGTGCCTTCCAGCGAATTAGGTTCCTGAATGAACCATCATTACTCCGCGTTTTAGTCACGACAAGCCAATCTAACCTGAAACGTCTTATTACCGATGGCACTACGATACGAAAGAAGCTAGCCTGGGGACTAGCGGTGCAGATCAGTTAGCCAAATGTGAACCGAGCATTGAAGTGCGGGGACGCAAATATAATGAGCTACGTCCCCATGGCAATAACTAATGGCACGAAAGGGTGAACGAAGGTAAAACATGAACAAATAGGTAAGATAAAGCTAAGTGGAAAAGGAAAACATTTTGTAATGGTTATTGCGTATAATGGATCACCAGTACAATGCAAGAAGTTCAATAACCCGTAGACTGTATCTCTAACCGATGCTTTTGGCCATCACGAGGAAAACAGTTCGGAACACGGCGGGGGCAACCCACGAGCGTTTCGAGTAATTTACTTATGTGCTGTGGTCACACGCACAAGAGACAGGCAGCAGAGATGACATCGAGGCTGGGCTGATGCGCACAAAATGCCATGACAGTAAGGAGGACAAAAGAAACGGGTTACCACGAGCGGCCGAGAAAATTTAAGTGGATAAAATACATATTAGGGACAAGAAGTTAGTTATACTACCCGCGTGTCACCAATATAGTCGACAACAGGCGGCAGTTGACAGGATTCGAGTGAAAGAAGGCATGGTCATTGGTGAGAGAGCACTGACTAGTGACTGCATTAATGTAAACATTAGTAGTCGGTGGTATTGGCTTTCGAATTCGCGGCATTGCGATCATAAACAGCTGTAACGCACGATTGTTTAAGAGCCGCAACCCCCCCCCCCCACAACATGTGTGGTACACAATGAGAGGCGAGTTCGAGTGAGTGTAGTTCAAGGCAAGACAACACCCATAAGATGCAGATGCATTTTGCACTACGCGGATGCATGTGTGTTTTCTGGGCATTAAACTAGTGTGGGGATGTAACTGCTGGCAAGATATGTGAAAATACGCGTTGCTAGTGCGCGTAAGGAAGTGACAAGACCACAGCCTAATCAGTGGTGGAACCAATATTATAGTGGACCGTGAATCCCCTCACCGCATGATTGGCTAGAGCCAGCAGTCGAAGCAGCGGCCTCGGATAGGTAGTTGCCGACATCCGAAGCGTGCGCAGACAAGCCTAACACAGCGAGGGTACAGAAGAGCATCGCGCCTGAGACAGAAGGGGTCTATTCATTTAGACATGACTTAACCGCGACAAAGAAGCACAATAGACAACCCAGCAGCGTAACGCCACCACAAAGGAAACAAGAAACGCTTCGCTATGCTCCCAACAAAGTTGAATCTCACATCTGTTGGTTGCACTATCCTGTGGTTTTGGAACTGAAGTGGTGAATAACGAAATGAAAACTTTATAGACCGTAGGGTGTAAGTAATTTTGGACTGTGTGAACATGACATACTTAAACTATGCATACATCTCCCTGATTTAAAGTACAACGACACTGATCAGCTTGCGAAACCTGACAAAAACGCACGTGAAACAAATGAAAATATTCAACTTGTGTATCCTACAATTAAACTGAAAGCAGTAAAATCAGTTGCGCAAAAGCTGATGATAAGTGCACTATGGATAGCAAGCAGGACTAGGTTGATCAGCAATGAACGGTTGCTTGTATGAATCATTCCATGACTTGACTAACTTTCAAGAAGCTCACGGGTACCAGAGCGGTATGATTTAACGCAGCGACAGAGCACAACAATAAACAGAAGAGATGAAAGCTGGAAAATAGCCAGCCTTAAAAATACTGAACTGCGCAGTGTAAGAATGGTTGGAATGAAATTTGTCTGATTTCGGATCTGGCTTCAAAGGGAATGCTGACTCGCCATGGCACCGATCCCTGGACAGCTGCCTGCCAAGTTGTAAGGATACAAGACAAGCCGTTTGAGCAACTGCTAAACTGGTTGATACAAGCGCGGACAGAGATCGCAATACTGATAACTCGAGTAAACCAATGTGTGGAATCATATGCATCAGCCTCCGTGCGCGAAAGTAAAGTTGTCAGAGGAATCTTGATTGCTGTTCTCCCTGTTAACAAACTATGCCAAAGTACCAATCGTCACTGCACAGTTTGGGCTAATGGTTCTTCCACATCACGTGATACTCAAATCCACACGCCTCCGGATTGTTCTTATTTTCTACAGGACATGTGTTTCGTTAAGCAGACACGGAACAACTTTAACCAGATGTCCCAATTTAATTGATGTCCAAGGTAATGTCAGTAGTTCCACATCACCGTATTTCTTTGCTAGCTGTCAGAACTAGTTCTCAACCGTCAGACGCCTTTGTGCCCGCCTGTTTCATACTTGGTTCCAGTTAATATTGGCTGTGGTGTTCAAGATGTGTTCAACCACACCGCCACCAACTCACAGTCGTGTCCGGCATTTGGATCGTATAGCCAGCCAACTAGCCACTTGCCGTGGGCCATTGCGATTTGCGACCCAATCTAAAATTGGAGGACTTTTACGGTGTTACTCAAACAGTAGCACGCCACCTGTTTGTTGTATCTAAAATGCGATTAATCTATTTTAACTGGAAGTGCACATTGCCGAGGAGAATGCTGCGATCAGCAGCTGCCTTGTTTGGTAAAGGGCTGCATTTTTCAATGTTGCCATTCAGACTTTTCACCGTAAATCACGAAGGTAAATGTAGTATAAGACTAGCTCGATTAAATCGATTTACTCGAGCGAAAAAGACGAACCACAGCCCACCTCTGTGGAACCTCTAAGAAGCAGAAGCTATGTTGGTGCAACAAAACTGCGCAATCAGAAACAGGTGCAATGTGATAGATGATTTGTGTCATTGGGAAATTGTGAGGAAACTAATCGTTCAAATCCGTGGAAAGTATCGTAAAGAGGCAAGCGACTTAGATGCTAAGAAAATCTACCTCTGATCTAATGGGTTGGGGAGGGGGATTTGGCCTTAAGCCATTTCTTGTTCGAGTTGGTTGGTTAACAGTGCTGGTGCTATCAAGCTAGGTAGTTATCGGAATGCCAGAAAACCAGCCTAGAGGTGTTTAGTGAAACAGCATTTGACAGTTCAACTACAGTTGTGGAGAAGGGATAGCGGATGTGTCGCCAAATCAGATTCAAAGCGCCAATTCGAGAGACCAAATCGAAACTTAAATAAGATGATCTTGCTAAGTAGCCACAAGAACGCACGGGTGCGAAAAACACTCGGTTAACGAACCGGAAGAGACGGAAAAATCCAGTTGTCGCAACGCGCTTAGTCGCCATTCGAGGTCGTTTCCTCCAGCAAGTGAAAGTAGCACCGGTATCTTGGCCAGATCCTGAAATTATAACAACAAGATAGTGAAACCCGCCAACAAATTCCAACACAGGAGCCATATACTATAAAGGAGTTTCCCAAAGCATAAAGTGCACTGTAAGATATGGTGGTGGAGGGGAGGGCAGAAGTGAACGCAACATAGAGTTTGAATTCTCCCGGTGTGTGAAATATATACGGCTGGATTAAATTTTGATAAAGAAACAGATCAACAAGCACTGAGTGTGTGAGATAACATGTAGCCTAAGGCAAAAGGAACTCGTTAGGCAGAAGGAAGTGACTGTTCTTTCGCTGTTGATTTTCAAAGTACTCCTTGAGGAGTACTCGCATGACCTGGATACACTTGAGAACCTCATCTACCCTTTGGCTTACTGTAACTTTGAATTTAAAACATTCGTAAGCGCTGAGTAACTTCCCTAGTCCCTTAATATGAGGTCAAAATATGTTTTGCCAGACACCAAACCCCTTGCAAACCGGAACGCGGATAAGGCAATTAAGGATTGGTGCAAAACGGCAAACTGCCAATAAAAGGCCGCAAGTCTCGCTACATAGCAGTAGACGAATATCGCGACGATGTCACTGAAACCGGTCTACAGTCGAAGAACGTTAAAAAGAGATTTCGGAGCAATCCACTTCAAAAAATCAGTATGCCTATGAAATGGGGAGGCGGTTAAAAATAGTTCGGCCGATGGTAGAAAGGACTGGGCACCTGCCTTATAAACCGGAGGCCATCGGTCCGGGCGACCTCGCGGTGTACCCAACCCACGCGCGACTTGTTGTGGTCGCATGGTAGCGAAGCGCTGGTATGTATGGTGTGTCTGCGTCGTGCTGGTAACTTTTCGATTGTGGTGCATCAAGAGGAAATATGACTGAGTCAGGGTCAAGTACCATTGTAGAAATAGGTAACTCGAAAAGGAAAGGTTAAACCCTGGACCTCAGCAATGGTCCAATACAAGGTAAAAGCACAAAGACCACAAGAAGGTGATACAACTGGCAAAAAAGCTGATTTGCGAAACGTCAAGGAAGATATTAGTTGCGACACTTAGCATTGTTCCGATGACTGGTGTCACGAGTGGTCAATCCCAACCTAGATTCTGCGCGCATGTTGCTCCAAATAACAAACACAAATTTCTTGGTTCCTAGTATGATGAAAGTGAAACCAATATGTGACTGCCTACACTAGAACCCCTACATCACTCACACCATAAATACACCGCGCCCAGTTAGCAAGTCGCAACCAGATAAAGTTGCCAATTTTGAGGCGATTCCAAACAATTCAGTTCAGGTAAAGAACTATGATCCGGGCACTGAAATGCGGCCGACCCAGTTGCCACGACTCAAGTCGCCAGAAAAAGAATAAATAACAACAATAAGCTAATGAGGCGAAACGCAGACAGAATGCATAAGAGATGGAATCGAGAAAGAAGTGGGTTAAACTAATCGGTATTGAATGAGAATTAATAGGTAGACGCAAGCAACAGAATACAAGAACGCACGACTAAGCATGTGTGATAGGATCTCCAACCACTGATGAGGATAATACCGGCGCCTAATCCAGGAAGAAGGTTCACACTAACCTGACCAAGTCCCTCTCTTAATTTATTCATGCTGTTAGGTCCAGTCACCGACTAGCAACCTCGATGTTTCACCCAATTCGTTGGCTGGCTTGCCGAACAACCTCCTCGTGGTGCCAGCTGAGTGGTTCGGGATTTTCCCGTTCCAGCAAATGGTTGGGCGGCAGTGTTCCAGTACGTGGTGGGTATTCGCCTGGCAAGCGTTCTCCCTATAAAAAGCCACATGTGCATTTAACAACACTGTGACGGGGCAGACGTGACTCGCCACTAAATAAAGTCACCGCCCCTTGCTCCATCTTGGCAAAGCATTGTATTCCAGCAAATTTATGCTGTAATTCTGGGGAGCATTGGGCCCCTGTTTGATAAAGGAACAAACGAAAGGCGTATGAACTGAGCAGTCACCGGCTCCCAATGGGCGCGATTCCCTGAATTCGCTCCGATGTCTTGCGGACAAGCTATTTAGCCAAAGGTTCGCGGTGGTGTCCCCTAAGTCAACACCCTACTTCGGCTTGGGCAACTGGGTAGTATCTCACACTCTGACGAAACCATGGACTTTGATGTTTTGTGTTGTGTTTCCTTTTACTATTTCTGTACCTCCTTTTTAGTCCCGTGGTTTCTAATGGCTTGATATATATATATATATATATATATATATATATATATATATATATATATATATATATATATATATATACCCAATTCGTTGCAGCGACGGTGTATGGGGTATGCTGAAGGAGCCACCAGAGACATGACCTAGCCCAATTAAGTGGGTAACGCTCAGCACACTTCAGTGAGACACCAGAGGGTACCTTCAAAAACCAGCTGGCTGACTCCGGTGTATGCACCAAATTTGAGCAATAGTTCGCAAGCTCCGGTGATCAAGCAAAGCTACTGTCTTTAGTGTGAACTGGCCACGTCTCTGACCCTGGCCTTATCGCGGCGTAATACACCCTATCTTTCACTGACAGTATGATGTCAAGCCGTCGCCATAGGTGGTTAAGGCTCTGAAAAGCAATAGGGAGTCACGTATGCATTTAGACCGCAAAGTTGAAGAGGAAAGGATATAAAATACCTTTGGTAAAGGCCTGTCGTGGGAACTCAGGAGGCAGATTTCAGTAGCCCCTTACTAGGCCTCGGAGGTCACGGTAGAAAGACTTCAGAATGGAAAGGAGTGTCCCAGGCACGCCTTTCACAAATAGACAGTGCCACAAGCAGGTTCGATCCACAGAGTCAAAGACGGTTTTCACATCATATTCGGTCCTGGGGAAGAGCGACATATGATCGATATAATCACAACCAGGGTGAAAGCCGGGCTTGATTGCAGTCTTGATTGAAGTCTAGAGACAACGGAAATAAGGCTGATGCCTTAGTGATTCTCACACAATGTCAGCTGCTCCTTTTTGAAGATGGGCACGTCAGTTGATAGTCGCCTCTTCAGTGCCTTAAATCGTGTATAACAGAACAGCAAGTCTAGTCAACAAAGAATCGCCCACAACTTTCAGCAAAGATGGCAAAACGCAAGCGGGTCCAAGTGGTGTTTCGTTTCAACACGGTAAGCTCATATCGAATCTTTTTCAAAGTGAGAGGTGCGACATTAACAACACATGCTGGGTCAGGTGATTCAACAAACGCCAGTATCAAAGCAGGCTTGCTGAAATATTCTTCAAAATGTTCTGCCCACTGAGCTAGCCGACGCAACTGAGAATAAGCCTGCTGTCTATCTGTTCAAACCGAAGTCGCCCCAACTAAGGGTCTTCTTGTACCTGTGCTCCGGATGAGCACGAATAATACTCGGCTGTTTCCAATAGCACTACCTTTCTGCATCTCACGGTACCCTGACTCACACTAACGTTCCCGGTCATTTAGTAGACTCCTTGTCAGTCGTCGTTTCAGGGCGTTAGGGACACGGTGAAACTAAGTACCCAACAAAAACGGTTTGCGTGATACACTCAAACTGATTGATGTCTGAGTACAGTTCAGTTAAACAACTATGATCCGGGCACCGAAGTGCGGTGGATCCAGTTGTTAGGACTCACATCACCAGAATAACAATAAATAACGACTACAAAATGAGGCTGAATACAAAGATATTCATATGCAGTAAGTATCACAAACTGGGTGTACAGTATGCGTCAAAGAATTCCCCGTGGCACACTTAAGACGATCATAGTCAGCATTCATCTCACCTTCAGCTACTGACTCCCTATCGACAGAGACTCGAAGGGTGTAGTCATTGTCCGTAGATTCGGAACCAGGGAGCTGAAGATTCGTCATGACGCAGTTATCATATTTGGGTGTTTCTGAGGCACGATACAACAAAACTAAGAGAGTGGAAGAGTGAGATTGTTGATTGTTTGCCAATCTAGCCCAGAGCGTGAATGTTAAATGAACCAGTGTGGAATGACGGCCCTGGTTTGAGGAACAAGTTATATGTATCGGTGGCAACAGATGCGAAGTCAGCAGCAGTCTCTTCCTTAGTAGATGAGGAAAAAGATGGGAATGAAAAACAAAGAGAGTATTGTCGATGAGATAAAGGGAGCAGATGATACTCTCTGTGTGTCCATTCGGAGTGAGAAGTTTTGTATGAGTTGCCCGACCTCTGGCAAATGACTCCACAGCCTGACTCCCAATGATGTGAGGAGCAGATCCAGCTCGGGAGTGTTATTGCAGAAATCCAATGGTATCTGCTTGAGGTTTGTCACACGCCGTATTTGAAGACAGGACGTCTCACGTGTGTTTTTGACTGTAGAATGTTACGAATCTGTTACCATGGCCAGCCATATTTTGGATTTGCGTCAATTTACTTATGTCCTACCCGGTTTGATGAAGCGGTAGCAAACCGAGGAACAACGGCCGTGCCCACGCAACATCAAACAATGAGTGGCGCTCTTGTTTTACGCCAATTGTGTTGTGACCTTTGACCTGTAAACCAGTTGTCTCCTTTGGCCACGTTTTAAAAGAAGAAGGCCATCGATCGCCCCTTAACATCCGATGAGGATTGCGAAACGGAATTAGTCTGACTCCTAACCATTGATCTGTCTGGTATGAGGGGCACTGAAAGCGCTTGGAAGATGCCACCAGCGTAGCTCAAGGGGTCACGAATGTATGCAAATCATTGCAGTAATAACGTAATGTGTCAGCTGTACGTCGTAACGGCGCTTCTCTGCCGCGCGAGTACACCGCGAAGACGCCCACTTCTACGCGGATTCGAACCGGTGACCTTATGGTTTCAAACCAGGCGCGCAGATGACTCAGCCACCGGCCGACAACCATCGCAGTAGCTTAAAAGGGAAGTTCACTGTTGGGTGCTTTACATTCTATTATCTACTCTCTCCGCACAGCTATAAAGGCCAGTTCCCTTAAAAGAAACTTCTCTTACAATTGTGAATAAACATCAGGGACCTCAGGTCAAGTCAGGTCACGTTCCAAGGATAAAATAGGCTCCATCCAAACGATCGTCCTGTTTCTTGTACCGTCAAGTAAACCAGTGATCCCGGTACCTCGATATGTGAGTTGCTCGCTTTGTTTCTGTAAAAGAAGCCAACGAAGAACAAGAGCAACCTCTGTTTTCTTGGATCATAGACCACGAGGTTTGTGACAGTGTTCAATAATTTAATCATAATTCTGGAAAATGATCCGGTGCACAAAGCTAGGTCTTTTTGTATGACTTTACAGTAGCACTTCCCACTAAGGCAGGAAGCTTGTACCAACCACGAACTAAACGAATTGTAAAGAATTTCACCCTGTTATCCAGCCAGGACCACTGATGATTAAGCGTAAACTTATGACCCCGGAGATGGTCAGACATAGCTAGTTAAAACAGATCAAAAACCTTGATACCACTGAGGCCTTCCACAATCTTGAACAAATCTATCAGGTTCCCACACAATCTGCCCCATTTCAAGGGAAACAGTCTTAGGCTGCTTAGGCGTTCATCATATGGCTGTTCGCGCTGGTCCTCTACCATCCTAATCGTAAGCTATTAGACCACAACATGACGCACAAGTGC